AAAAACCCCCCCCCCCCCCCTGGTTTACAAAATTTGAGTTTGAGAAATTTTTTTCATTATTCTACATTATAAGTACCCAAAGAAGCTATATATATAAAAAAACGGATGCAAATAGGTGTTTTGCGAAATTGAGAGCAATTTCAAATCTGTTCAGTTTTTTTTGATACACCCTGTATACAATATTTTTAATTGCAATCTTTTTTTAATCATCAGAACAGTTATCTAACTTATCTTGTACGAGTATCGCGTGTGTGGAACTGCCTTCCAGATGAGCTATGGATAACCAGTTTCTCACGTGTTATAAGTTATTACCACTCCGCAACATTACCGTGTTTGACCAGTTTGTCTGAAGTGCCATAAGGGACCGGTCATAAAGTAAAGGGAGGGGGGGTGGGCTGGGAAAAATAGGGGGGGTCACTATTTTTGAGCACGGTTGAAGGGGTGGGTCATCGAAAGTTAAGCGCAATCATAAGGGTGGGCCTTGTAAAAATATGCAGAAGATTGGGCCCCGGTCATTTTTTTTGTGTTAAAAATTTCCGCGCAAAGAACAAGATATCTTATTTTTTGGGCTAAGTACTGAAATTTGGTATGAAAAATTAAGATAAAGTCGTTGGAAAGCCGGAAATTACTCGTCCGGAAAATTTTTTTACCTAAAAAAGTTGTCGACGGGGGGGAGGTTCTCGAAAAAAAATTTTTCCGGAAAAAATTGGAAAAGGGGTGGCTCATAATTTTTCAGCACCAATTTAAGGGTGGGCTACAAATTTTCGTGCAGCTATAAAGGGTGGGCTACCAAAAGTGCAGACACCAAATATATGATTTTCCCAGCCCACCCCCCTTTTACTTTATGACCGGTCCCTAAAGCAAGACAGCTTACTGCAACAATGAAATGTTGTTCTTAAATGAACTAGTTCTTTTGGCAATTATTCAGTGCAATATGGTTAATTTAATCCGATGTAGAGTTGGGTTTTTCGCCATTTTCGTCTTACATTATTGACGGATACTGAATCTATGTATTTTCGCATTTATTCTGTTTTATAATTTTGTCATTTTGTTTCTCCAAATTTTGAAATTTATTCTCTCTCTATTTCGGATAAAAAGGACTATACTGTAACCATGTTTGTTTTCCGCTGTTTGAATATGTTTATGCATGTTTGTGTTGACAGCTGAAGTTAATAAATATGGGAAGCAAAACTACATATAAAATACAAGCAGAACGTTATCATTTCGACCGAAGGCTCTTCGTCGGGAAGTTATACTACTTTACTCGAAACAAAGTGCAAACAAAAATGTAAATCACATTACAGAATATATTATATAGAGGGCCCCCTATACTTTTTGCGTGAAGCGTGAAGGGCTTGTTTTACTTAGCCGTGAAACGTGATCAGGCCCCCTATACTTTTTGCGTGAAGCGTGAAGGGCTTATTTTACTTAGCCGTGAAACGTGATCGATGATTTTCTTAATCCGTGACTCGTGAAAAGGCAAAATATTTTTACGTGAAAGCATATTGTGAAGAGGTATAGGGGGCCCTCTATATAAATATGGAAGCTAGGTGATAAACTGACAAAAATACAAATTTGTCTATACAAATCAAAGACAGGTAAAGCCAACCATAATATAGCCATATAGGCATAGGAAAAACGTTCCTTAATACCCATTGCGGGTCTTACCACCAAAAATTAATACAATTATGTTATTAATTGTTTAATGACATTGCATGATCGGACATATTCAATACATACTACAAATTTAATTCCGCACTGAGTCGTATCGCTACCGCATTCCATTCCATTCCGCAAGGCCATGCATATTCTGCCTTTTAAATTCACCGGAGATCTTCACCAACGTAAAATATTATTACTTGTAATATAAAGGGAAGTGTCCCACAACAACATTGCATTAATTCGGGGGAGACGGTTTAGATTCGGCTATCTTTAAAACAGGGAATGCGGGGAATCGGGGAATCCAGGAATCGGGGAATCCGGGAATCGGGAAGAATTGGGGAATCCAGAACTGATAAGATGGGGATATTAGTGTGCTTGTTGGAAAATGGATTTGCTACTTTGTTTAGAATAATACAGACGATGAACATATAGTATACACTGCGGATCAGTTGACTTACTATATAGCTTATGTTATATTATATATATTATGTATAACAGCGCTGTGCACATATGTGATTTTAATAACATATAATTTTATTAATTTCAATTACTACATTAGCGTCTATAGAATTTTGTTCCAACGCGCAAGTTTTTTTAACCTGAGTATCAGGCCCTTATGTTTTCATTCGCCAGGATTAAATGGCGGCTGCGAATGAAGGAGGGACTGATACAATTCTTTACCGCGGCGCATGTAAAAAGCCAGATTCTGGCTTTTTCGTCTGATTGGCCGATTAGACAAACGATTTTTTAAATCTGTCATTTGATTGGCTGGTGCTAATTAGATTATACTATTGTCAGTTGTTGATGGGTGTTTGTATTCCGAGTAATGAGTAATGAGTAATGAGTAATGAGCAATGAGTAATGAGTAATGAGTAATGAGTAATGAATTTTCGTACTTGCTTTGGAAAAATAAACCATGAAAATATTGACAGTGATTCTACACACTCCTTGCCGTGAATAATTATAATGCTGTGACGATGTCATGGTATGATCAAATATGGCCATACACCCGTTGTTGATGTATTTTATAACGAACTACAATTATATCCAGCCCACTAAACGGCTGAATTTAAATTAAAACTGCAGTAAAATTAGAAAATAATCGCAAATTAGCGAAATATATTGCAAGTGTAACTTATATTAAATCGCCATCAGATTGCACTATCGACCAACTGACGTATAGTTATAAAGTATACTTAATATATATATACTTTATAATTATATGTCAGTTTGTTGATAAATACGGTAAGCGCCATG